AGTGAGCCGCGGTAGCTACTTTAGCATGAGGCTGTGAAATGTATACGAATCCATGTTAACCCTTCTGCTGCTGGCTGGACCAAGACCTCCCCTCAGCAGCAGCTGCTCTGATCATGATGTTGGCACTTCTTCTTATGATTGCCTGGTAACATCTGGACCTTTGGCAACCCTGACCACAACTCAGACAGAATCCACCTGAGGCAGTGTGGGTGTGGCCTGCAGGTACCTGCAGAGCACTGAATATATCCCATGGACCAGTTGACTTTGATGCCCCTGACTTAATCCAATAACTAGACGGCCACCAGTACCATGGCAAGAAAGTTTGGTGTCTGGGGCAAGGCTCACTGCTACAGCCCACCCTCACCCCATGCACAAATCCAGGGGACACATACCCCCTGCTTGCTTGCCCAGGAGTGCACGCAGTGATGGGAGTCCCCCTGTCCCTGTCCCTCGCCCTCCCCCCCCAAATGAGACACTTGCGGCTCTGTCCCACAGCTCGCCCTCACTGGGCAGCACCTGTTGGCACCCCTTTGCTTCGGTACCTGGGGCAATTACCCCGCTTGCCTCCCTTTGTTACGGCACTGATGGCCACATTCACATGTGTGTGCATGTGCATTTGTGGTGCCTCAAAGGCTTTTGAATTTGTGTTGCTGCTTTTTTCCCTGCAGCAACCTCATGCCCCTGCTCATGGGGATGCAGCCTATGATTCTTAACAGTTGTAAATTATTTTACAGTTACTATCTTATAGTGCCTTCAGAGTCAAAAATATTTGATTCTTGTCTCTCAGTTAAATGATATGTTTACTTCTGGTTCCTGTTTCTTTTTTGGAAAAGCAAAATACACAACCAAGATCAGATAGGAATGGAAAAAACCTGAAGTTGTATGGAATCACAGTTGTTAATTGTTTCCCAAATTAAAACTATTTTTCAAAGATATAAATATAGCCTGTAAACACTCCAGAACTGTATCCTCCATAGAAAGAATCTTTGTTGTTTCCCATTCCTCCTGGTAAAGACATCTACTTTTTAACATTGTTCCAGATGGCTATATGATAATATAACTTGTTAAAAAAATTGTTTGGTTTATTCTCCCATATCTATATTTTTTGTTATTCTTTAATATTGGGATATTCAACCTTTTCATGAGGGCAACTATCCAGGATTTAACTGGCAGAGATGCCAATTGTAGAGCTTGTGCACCAGAAGTGGCTCAGTAGGTAAAATAAAAAAAAATGTATTTGTGAAATGTATTTTGCAGTATCATTATATTTTTAAGCATGTGGTCACTATTGTTGTTATGAGAAGTTAATTTTGCTCTATTAGTTCTTGGTCTTTTCCTGCCTTAGTGAAGATTTTAATCACACGCTGAGTCCTTTTAAAGTGACTGGGTGGAATTTTAAGTGGCAGGATACTAAAAAAAAAAATAAATTATTCAGCTGTAGAGCTGCCATCATTTTGATGATTTGGGTTCAACCCCACAATGAGAGCATTAATTAGCTCCAGCTCATGAAGCAAGGTTTCAATGACTGTGTTCGTAGAATGATTTTGTCTCTTAGTTTAATTTCTGTTCCTCTGTTTAACAATATGCCCAAGTATCTCATGCCTTGAGCAGGAAATATGATTTTAATTTACATATTAAGGTATGAGGGCAGAATTGGGACAAGGGGAGTACGTTCCCTTTTTTTGCAAATGTATCTTAATACACAAAGAATTTTGAAAATGCATTGATCCATTTTCTCAGATGGGCTCTGGATTTTTCTGTGTTAATTAACACCAGTCCAGAGCAACAGGATAGCATTGTCATAATAAAATACCTTATGTTCCATCTCTCATAATATAACAGCCAACGCTCCCAAATGTTTTCTGATTATTTTGGCAAGAGGCAGAATGTAGTAAGCTCCTCACTCCTGGTTAATTTCATAGATAATATTAGTGAATGGCCTGAGAACAGCTGAATTTACCCATGTACATAAGTATTTTCCAGACATAACTATAAATGTACCTTCAAGACAGGGTAGTAACCAAATGCTATCCGATAGTAGTTGTATACTCACTAGCCTGGATTATTTCAGAGCCAATAACGCAGGGGTGATAAAGAACCAGGATGAAGACTTCAAATCTGGTTCAGATAGGATTTATCTTAAACTGTTAAAGAAGCCTAGACAAGTAATGAACAGATCCCATCTGCAATTGGAAAAAAATCTCTAAGTACAAGTGAGGCAGCAAAAGTCTGAAAGCAAGCAAATGCAATGCAGTATCAACAGTCATAAAGGGATAAGTGCATCCCAGGAAACTGAAGCAGAACATTATTTATTTACCTAACTCTGTTCTTTGTTATTGTATATTCTCTGCATGAAATATTTAAAGGAAAGCTTTCATACTGTTAAAAACATTCTGATACAAATAGAAGAATTAAATCTCAGCTATCTCAATAGCCCATTGCTGCACTCTGAGTCTGATCTTGCTATAATAAGCCAATGAGTGTTTTTCTCTGCACTTTACTGCGAGTGGAATTAGTCCCCAAGTCTTGTTTCTTTCCTCTTTTTCTGTAGTCAAGAGTACCAGCAAGAAAATCCATGCTCAGCTACTTGGATAATACTGTTTATTATACCTCACATAAAGGAAAAGCCATATCTGAATTTTCCCATATCAGTTATTCATTGTGTAACCTATTCTAAATATATTTGTCTTTATACACCTTTTTTAAAAAAAAAAACGATAGCCCCACCTAGATGTCAGCAAACTTTTTATTTCCTTGTTAAGTACCCGTAAGCCTTTAAAAGTTCTTTATCTATCTTTCTCTCATCTGCCACTTTATCAAAGAAATTGCTTCATTGCCTGTCACAGCATGTATTTATCGCAGAAGCTCTTTGTCCTATATGCAAATGCAGACAGTAGGTATGTGGCGTAATTAATATGCTTACCAAGATTCCATAGCATTTGCCGTTAAAAACGTGTTGCTGGTAGCATCATTAACATTTACCACCAATAACAAACTGGTTAATTTTATGTACTTTCAGAGAGTTTGTAGTTATTACCAAGCCCATGCCAATATTAGAATAACTGGGGAGAGAGGCTTCTGAGCATGCATGGAAATGATTCAATTTGAACCTGCAAATGCCTCTCCTATCTAAGCTCCATTTCAGTCCAGATTCTTGGTGAGAAGGTGCCCAAATCTAGGGGCACATCTATACATGCTCTTTACTGCAGAGTTGATTAATTATCTCCGCAGTAAAGTGTTACAGTCTACACATGCACCCATATTAGGGCACAATAAACTAATTAACTCTGCCATAGGCCAGTGCTGCCTGACACAAATACTCTCCTATGGCAGAGTACTTGTGTGCACTTAAATGCACATATAGACTGTGACCAGGGCTGACTGAGGCATGAGGGTGCTACAGTGTGGGGGCTACCTGTAACACCCTCATGCCCTAGCCAGTCCCTCCACCACTCAGCACCACCTCCAGAGCCTGGGGCTGACCTTCCCCCCTAGCCCCTTGCTCCAGCTCAGCTGCTCCTGGTGCAGCATCAGAGTTTGTTCAGGTGCATTAATATCACGTGTAGTTATTACAAGAATTAACTTTCTGCATCCACAGAAAGTTTGAAGTTCAACTAAACAATGATTGCAATCTAATAGTCTGGTAGCTAGGCCACTTGCCCAAGAAGTGTAATACTGGACACTATATCTTCTGTAGCACATCTCTTACTTCCTAGAAGAGTACCTAATAGTAGCCTAAGGAACAGGTTGAGTGGTGTGATGGGGTAACCTACATACTTTTGTTGAAGCTGAGCCACTGGGAAGTTAAAGCGTTTAAGAGTTAAGGTTCCAGAAGGGGAGTAAGCAAGAGGGAGTCTTCCTTTGTAGTCTAGTGAGTAGGATATTTTGCGGGGAGTGGGCAGTCCTTGTTTTGGTCCCTTCCAGGTTTATATCTATGTTTTGAACCATAGCTGTCAAATGTAAAATGCATAAGCAGCCTTGCAAACAGGACTTTTGGATAGGGGTGCACTGATAAAGATTTTCTCGGCTTATACCGATAGCCAATGATTAACCCACCATATTGGTTGATACCGATCTGATAACAAATATTTAGTAATAGTGCAAGGCATTTTAAGCTACTGACATAAATAAACCCGTTGTTTGTTTGTTTGTTTTGCATTTATAACACATACATGCTTGCTGTCTGTTCTGGTCCTTGATGAGGAAGGTGGTGACCACCTTATTCTCATGCACGTTGCCCTCTTGCTGACAACTCCCTGTGCTGCCATCCTGGGTGAGCAGGGTGGACCCTTGTGCAGACTGTGGCGCTGGACATGTTCAGAGCCCAAGAGCAAGCTGCTGCCTCAGTACCAGTGGACTCCACACAACTGAGCTCCCGTGGCTGCTGGGGAGAAGTCACTTTTGCAAAGATGCCAGCAAAGCAGACTGTCCCTGGCATGGTGCCTTACTCTGCCCGTGTGCAGCCCAATGTTTCTGCAGCAGCCCCAGTGCTCAGGCCTCTGCTGTGCACACAACACTGCCATGGCGGCAGCAGCAGTGGCAATAGCAGCAGCAGCAGCAGCAGGAGGAACTGGTAACGGTCCCTCTGTTGCTGAGTGTGGTGCCCTGTGACTGCTCCCCAGTGCCCTCCTGCTACTCGCTGGGACTTACAGTTTGCTGAGGGCTTGGGCCAGCAGTGGGATGCGGGGACTGGACTATGCCCACCAGGGTGCTCCAGGCTGTCATATTGAATGTAATAGTTTGAATTCTTGTAATAACTGCCTCTTAGCCAGTTTAGACAAAAGGCAAGGTTCATCTTCTTATCTAGGCCATTGCTTGCTTTCCCTGGCCCTGCAACAAGTTTGTTTAAAAATGTTAGGTTCTCAATCTTATCTTTAGACGCCTTTAACAAGTTAACCTAAGAACACGAAAAATGACCCTTAAGCCAATATTCTGAGAGATCAAACCCTAGAAACTTTTGAAAGGGGTTGGGAAACACCTCAGTGTTGTGGAAAAACTCCTCAAAACAAGAATTTAAGATAAACTGAATAGTCAGCCGACAAATTCTGTTGCAGAAGACAAACTGACCACCCAGCAAAAATCTGTTGAGTAAGATCCGAGCCCAATTTGGGAGTAGTGACAGGTTTGGGTAGGAGGGGCCCAAGACGGCAACTCACCCAGTACATAACCTATAACCTACAGTCCCAATTTGGAGGTAACCTCACTTGCAGAACACTGAAGGAAGAATCGCAAGTGTAGGCTGGATCTGACTGATCACTTGAACCACCCTCTCCGTGAACAAGAACTCCCGTTCACGCTGAAGCCGCAGAGTGCCTGAGTGGGACTGAAGGAAGGGGACTTGTTCCTATCACTGCTGAGACCAACCCTAAAACCATAACTAAAGAATGAAAGTGTATCTGGGGATTTGGTTTCTCAGAATTCTAGGATTGTAAGTATCTGTTTTTGTAATATTAATTCTTATAGCATTGTTTGGGAAAGAAGTGCGTTTGGAGCATTGTTTCTAATATATGTAGTTATTGTGTTTTTAATGTTTGTGGTATTTCTTAAAGCTAAGCAGCATTATATGCATAGTAAGCAGTTTTAATAAACATATTAAAGGAATAAAAATTGTCATCATTGTGAAAACGAACAGGACTCAACCTCACCCCACCAGCGTACTAATTTGAACCAATATATCGTGTGGGACTTCTCTCAATCCTGTAAACCCATAAGAGACACAGGCATGCAGCTGTAATTATCAGCTACAATGGCCAAACAAAGCCGGTAGCCGATAACATCGTTTCTCATTTATCAGTGCCAATCCAATAGATAACCGATATATTGGTGTGCCCCTATTTTTAGACACATTGCACTAGGAGTTTGTGTTGAGATCCTTTTAAACTTTTCAAAGTCACTGCTTTCCGAATACAATTCCCCATTCTGCAGCTATGACCTGCATCCCTTGTTTTTAAGTATAAGTTTGCATATGGCCACATTGAAGTACATCTTGTTTGAATGGGCCTGTCTTGCCAACTAATCCTATTAGGGTGGAGTAAACTAATTAATTTACTCCACCCTAATAGGGGTGCATGTGTAGATACCAAGACATTTACTACACAGCTAACTAACTATTTACAGGTGCATCTAAATGTCACCATATGGTGACATTGCTATGGTGCCATGCTTTTTGCGGGTTCAGCATTCAGTTTCAAATATTTGCAAATGCCAAACCCGCATTTCAACGACACTTTATACACTTACAGGAGCTCCTCGGAAGCTCCATGCTTGCTACCCCTGGGCTCCTGCTGCCGCCACCATGCTCCTGCCAGAGCCACCAGAGCCAGGCCCCACCCTGCAGCCGCCAGGGGCACTGTGTTCATGAACGCAGACGGCGTTCATGAATGCAGTGCCTTATTCGCAGATTTCGCCATTTGAGAGGATACAAGAACCTATCCCCCGTGAATGGGGAGGGTCTCCTGTACTAAAGCACAGTGTACTAAAGCACAATGCAGCAACTGCTCATATTGCACTGTGCACATGGTGCACAGTCAGATTTTGCTGCTACATCACCGTAGCAGCATGATAAAATGGGGGAGTGTGATGTTCACTACATCGCTGTGGCGCACCATAGCGCATCATGCCCTATGAGTACTATCCTGCTGCAGAGTAAAAAAACTCCATAGCAGCACATGTGTAGACACTGGAGGGGCTGGCTGGGGCATAAGGGTGCTTCAGTGCAGGGGCTGCCTGCTGGCTAGGCCCTCAGTGAATCTCCCTTGTGCCCCAGCCAGCCCCTCTGCAGCACGTTGAGCTGGGGAGAACAGCTCCAGCCTGGCAGGCTGACTCCTAAGGCTCCCTGCCAGCTCAGGCTGCTCCAACTTGGCTCCATGTTGTGCTTGAATAAACTGTGGAACTTATTGCTCCAGGGTTAATTGCTTCCGGGCTCATGTTCAAATGGTGCATCCAGGACGCTTGAACTCCAGAGCAATAAGCTCTGCAGTTTATTCGTGCATAGCAATAGCACATGTAGACATGCCCAATGAGAATTACAGTTATCTAACTGATATCTCCATTTTTATATATGTGAGATCAGAAATTAACTAGTTTCTTTCCATTAGTTTGCTCCCATGGGATCTTCATACATGATCCTTAGAAGATGCCCCCACCTGGCCATATTATAAAGGCCATTTTTTTAAAGATAAGGTTGAGCTAAGGATGGAGAGTGAGTAGGAATGGAGTATTGCCATATTGTCTAGATGTTATTTATAAGTATTGTTCTTTCTTATTATTTGTTAGTATATTTGCTTGTTTGTCTCTGGAACTTACTTGTGCATTTTTAAGACTATAACACCTGGGAAACAAATGGAAATATTAACCCAAACCTTAGATATTACATCTAAATGCTTGAAAATGCTAAAACCTACATTGTTCCCAGCATCGTTAAAACAATAATTATCAGTACAATTAAAGAAGGGGTAGCAATTCTGCTGAGAAAAGCTGAGGTAATGGTAATATGATTCCTTCTCTGCACATTCCCTTCATATGGCTAATGCTGGTGACGAGTTTAAATGTTAGATAGTGGCTGACCATGTAGTGGCTGACCATACCTGGGTGCTCAGGCAAGTGAGATGATGCAGACAGAGACAGGCCCAACCTTGCACCACCCCTATGTAGCATCAGATACAATTGCAATGAAGAAAAAAATGAGAAATAGAACCTTGAAGTCCTGACACCCAGTATCTTTCGGTAGCCACAGGAAAAAGGTCTCTTCTTGTCTATGTCCCATGCTCCTGGGAACAGTTTAGCATTTAAACAGCTGCTTCACTTTATGCATGTGATTAATCCCATTGAAACTGAGAAACTATTCACATAGGCTAAGTACAGACAGTCAAAAAGCTGAATTGATTCAGTCTTTGTAGGTTAGTCTAAGATGTAGAGATTAAATTGAAACAGAAGTGAACAGACATACAGGAAATGCAGCCACATGCCTGTAGTGGCTCAGGCCAGAAGCCAGGGGGCACTAAAGCACAGCTCTCTGGCACAAAGCCAGCATGGGCTATGTGTTTGCTTCCTCTTCCTGCTGCCTCCGAGGTCTCTGGGATTTGTCCAAAATCACAACCGCAGGATTCTGCAGAGTTGCTTCTCACTTCCTCTTCCTGCTTCCAGGTGCCTCTGAACTTTGTAGTTCACAGTTGAAGCCAGTTGCAGCCAGCTAGTTTGAGTGGGAGAAAGGGTGTTTAGCCCTCCTCCCTGGCCCCAGCCCCCAGCCTGGGTTTGCCTGGGGTGACCATCGCCTCCCCTTGCAAACTGGGCTGCATGTCCAGCCTGGCTTGCCTCCCCCACCTCCTTGTCAGCCAGCCCTCACTGCTTCAAGTAGGGAGCAGAAGGGCAGGGCCAACCCTGCTCTCTGGAGCAGACAGCCCAGCCCAGCCCAGCCCAGCCCAGCCCAGGACTGCAGAGCATGCTGGGATGCTGGGGGACTGTGATTTAACTTGAACAAGGAAGGGGTCTGGGACAGAAGTTTCATAAACCGATTTGACCCAAATCAATTTGTTCTGATACTACATTCAGCCAGGTTTATCTTAAACCAGTTTCAGCCATTTTGAAACTGGTTTATGTGCACTGAACTTCTGTTCTATTACAGATTTAAACCAGTTTCTGTTCACTTAAATCGACTTATGTGTAACTTCTGTCCCTAGCCATAAAGTTAAGCACATGAAGAAGTACTTTGCTGGACTGCAGCCAAGATCAAGTAATTTTAATCTCTAACTATATTTATCTTCCTCCAAAGATAAGTCTTCTGCTTATGATCTACATTATTAACAGTTGCATATATGTACAGTGTGCCAAACCCTGCAACCCTAGGAACTGGCACAAGGAGCTGGCACAGGATGTTTCCACTTATATATAGGGGATGCTGAGGATTAGGGTCAAAAGCCAATGTGCTCAGGTCAGCATAGGTGAATAAACATTAACATTAAGGTACATATACATAGGATCCAGATGATGGGTAATAACCAGTGACACTGTGGTGAAATCACCCAAGAACAGGTAACCTGCAGAGAACACCATGGTATGTACACTTGAGAAACCTTAAATCCTTCCACAACTCCCGTGAGACTTCTAACCAATCTCTGGCCCCAAAAATGCTGAATTGCCATCTGCCAGGGCTCCCACATCTGAGCCCTGCTTCTGCAGCTCAGTGCTGGCTCTGCCATTCCTTCTCAGTCTCTGGCCATACATCTATCTTATCTGCTACATCGTGCACTCCTTTGCTGCTTTTCCACTTTCTCCCATCCCCTGCAGCCTTCTGGGGATCATAGTGGATGTTACAGATCATTCCTCCGGTCTCCTGGAGGCTTCTGGGAGTTGCAGTTCATGTTACAGTATTATGGTACATGATATTCAACATTACAGTCCATTCCAACAGCAATAAGACAATCAGCATGTAGCAAAGTACTAGATATTCATTACAAGCAAGTCAGATCATTTTGCATTCATTAGAAGTAAATTTAACAGGGGTCTCTAAAGTTCAGTGTTCAATATTTGTAATACATCATTTATACTGACATTGACTATCTGAATTCTAGTGTCCTCACCTTGGCAAATTTCCAGTGAATTTCACTGACTGGAATCTTGTGGTTTGATCCTGCTTATTATTGAACATCTGCAATTCCTCTTGCCTTCATTCAGATTTTGGCCATTTGTAAAGCTTCCTGATAAGTATGAAATGTTACATTATTATCATGTACTTAACTATATTATATGTGGATGACCTTGCTTATGTAATTATTCTCAGCCTGCCATACCATAAATATGCTATCTTTTGTAATAGTGATCATAGTTACCATTAAAAAATTGCCATAGGACAGTCTTTTAGGGGAACTTGCATTTTGCATTGTTGAAACTTTCCAAAGCCCATTCGGCCAGATCTAGTTTTTCTGTATGTGGTTTGCATTTATAGGACTTTATATGTTGACCAGTATCACAGCATGCATTTGTTTGTTTCATCTTCAAGTCTTTGATATTACAGTCAAAGTTGTCCAACTGTGCCTCTTAGCTATTTTCCTCTTGTCTACTAAGACATCTAAAAAATTTGAACTTAACTGGCTCTCAGTAGTTTGGTATGCATCACACACAGTCTCCTGAGTTCTTCAGCACTACATCAGCACACAAAAAAATGCATGGCTATGTTAGTATAAGTAATGTGCAATGGTAGTTTTGTTCAGTAGAAACATTTTTACATAAATAGAACCTGATCTACTAATAATGTCAAATTAATAAGTGTTCTGTGTTGCAGGACTGATCAGGTACCAGTGACCTTTTACATTTAAAAAAAATCTTTAGTTTTTTTGTTGTTGTTTTTTTTTAATCTTGATCAATTTCTTAAAATGTGTGAATGAATGAATTGTGCTTATGGCAATGAGAGGCATCCGTGGGCACTGGCTTCAGTCAGATATAATACAGGCAGGAAGTTTCTGCAAGCTTCTTCCATCCATCTATGCCAAATCTTTCTTACTTTTGACATACCACACTTAGGGGCTTTTCTTCAACTGGGGCTCAACTGTGTGCCAATTCAACTGATGGTTTTTATGATAGAAAAAAGGGGACTAGGAAGAGGCCATTACATTGTATTTAATTTTGAACTAAGCCAGAACTTGTGTAAATATTTTCCAAATATTAATGAACCAGACAGTCATGCCAGAATCCAAATTTTCTTTTTGACATAAGAACAAAAAACAGATTACCTATTTTAAAGTCTAACTATGGTCTTAACCATGTCATTTAAGGAATCTTCATTTGCAGATTTTGGACTTTGATACTCAGCATCAAAATATTAGATAAGCATTCATATAGGAGTGAGCAGGTCCACTTGTCTAATAGCAGAATAATATAGATTAGTGTTCAGATCACAACCTCAGGCCCTCTATGCATGTGCTTCAGAGGAAGTATCAGCTAGCTGTTCAAGACAGTGAGAAGCTTACTTGTAGTAAAATACAGATGTAAGTGTTGGCAGGCTCAGGGCTTTTATCCTCAATGAATACAAGGGATCTTACCCAGCTGAAAACATTTTGCTTAGAAATAATAACTGAACACATTTGAAACAGTTAGCTTTTGAAATATAACAGTTTTGATTAAGCAGTGTACTATAACAAACACTGTTTGTCACTGCATATTTCATAAGGCATCATAAAACACATTTATATACTTTTTAAAAAAGCTTGTAAATTCTAGGCCTAGGAGAGAAAGTGTGTTTTCAAAACACATTGACTAACATGTTAGTTAGCATCTATTAAAAGCATAGTATAGAGCTGGCAATTTGCTTTTTAACACATGGTATTTGAAAGGTATCACATGGGACGCATCTACACATGTTGATTTAAGGTATATTAGCCATTTTTAAAGTGCATTCAGGGTGCAGGTCTACATGTGCACACACTTAATGCACCTTAAAATGGCACGTTTAGGCTATTTGTGTCTAAATTTGATACCTGCAAAAGCTATTTTTAGGGGCGAGGGAGCCCAGAGTGATTTGGGGGGGGGTGTTCAGATCTTATAAGCATAGCAGGTTTGTGTAGATTATGTACCTGGCTAGGAAGCCTCTAAGCCAGGGGCAGACAATTATTTCAGGTGGAGGGCCACTTAACGAGTTTTGGTGAACTGTTGAGGGCCGCATGGGTAGTCCCACCCCTTGACAGTTGCCCTGCCCCTTGTCACTATCTTGGGACCAGAAGTCCCACCTCCCTGACCTTTGCCTCCAGAAGTCCTTCCCCTTGCTCCCCCAGAAATACTCCTTTTTGGAGCGGCGGTTGCCATCCTAGAACCAGAAAAAAAACAAATCATGCACTAAAAGTCAAACACCTACTATAACATATTTTAATTTTCTTACAAAAAATATTTTTGTCATGCACAGCCCTGGCAGGGAAGACACCTGGCTCCAGCACATTGGGCTCCCTTCCTTCTGTGCTAGTGCAGGGGCTGCACATGAGCGGCAGGGAGCACTGGCGATGCAGACAGCTGTGTGGAGCCTGCGTCCCTCTCTGTGAGTGCAGCACTGGCCGGAGCCACATCCCACCAGGTCGCCTGTGCCCTGAGCGCCCCTGCTGCTACCATCTGCCTGGGCTGTGCACCATGGGGATGTGTGAGGGGTCCCCACACTCTCTACCCTCCCTCACACCCACACGCTGCCCACCCCAGCTCTGTGCTGCCCTCGCCCCCTGGCCCCCTGGGTGCGGGTTCTGCACTGCCACCAGCCCCAGCCCCACACTCTGGGCTCCCTCCCAGCTACATCCCCACCCCTTCTGCTTCCTGACCTGCTGCCTGGAGCCAGCAGAAGACCGGGGAAGTGAGCAGGTCCCAGGGGCTGTGGCAGCAGCAGCAGCCCCACACAGAAGGTGCATGCTGGCTGACCAGGCCCTTCCACCCATGAGGGTGGGAGCCAGGCAATAGGGTATATTTTGGGGGCTGCATGTACACATGGGAGCCTCACTCCCACCATCATGGGCAGAAGGGCTGGGCGAGGCACAATTTGTTGGAGGGTCCTCTGGGCCGGATGAAAGTGCTTGGCGAGCCAGATCTGGCCCTTGGGCTGTATTTTACCTGCTCCTGTTCTAAGGAGAAAATAAAAGTTGATGGACCCCATACACCTGCTGTATGTGAGAATGCAATGGCCTACTGTATCATCCAACCTGTGGGGCTCCTGAGCAGGCCATCACATTTGGCCACTGCTGAATTCTGGTGTACAGAGCTCCCTTGGGTACCCACGTTGGTGGAAGAGGTGTGAGTGATTGGTGCATAAATCCCCATTGCTCAGAAAGCTGCAGTGGTTAATGCTGTCACCATTCACTCCATTTGCTGGAGGTGGGTCTGGATTCAATGTGTCAGGACCCTGTCCAGGGGCCAAGTGTAATGAGGTCAGATCAGAACCCTGGACCCAGCAGGTCCCGATCAGGAGAGAATCAGCAAGTCATCCCCTGGGCAGCCACTACCTGCAGCAAGCCCAGAGCTGTGCCCTGGTTCTGGCTGGACTGAGTGAGACAATCAGGGCAGCCAATCCCTTGAAGCCACAGCAAAAGTCCCATCTGCTTCAGCCCCTAAAAGCCAGGCCCAGCAAAAGAGAAAGTTTGTGGTCCTGACCTTCCTTGTGCTTCCCTGCCCTTAACTGCTGGTTTTCTGGTCCTGACTCCTGGATCTGACTCCAACTTGGGCTTTTGATTCTGATAAAACCCATGACTGTCCCAGATTCTGGTTCAACCTTCAACTCTAGCCTTTGGCTTCTGATTCTGGTTAGCCCTTGGCTTACCCTTCTCCAGCTCCAGCTTCTAACCCCAGCCTGTTTTGACTTTAGCTACAGCTCCTGATTCCAGTTCTGACACCAGAACCCTCTGTATCCTCCACTCCCTGGGGAGCCAATAGGACTGCACCTATTCTTGGTTTGACCACCAGGCAAGACCATCCATGTCCCAATTTCCTATTACCAAGGGATTTTGACTCCCCTGTCCTACAGCATTGCTGTTTCACCTCTCTCCTCACTTTATATACTTTTCATATTTGCATCTGATTTTTGGCATGATACAGCAGTGCTTGCAGAAGGTGCCCTGCCTCCCCCAACCAAATGCCATTGAAGCCCCATGCCCATGGGTTGGATTCAATGATTCTGTGGGATGTAGGTTGTCAACCATGATTTAAACTATCTCCTATCCAGGGGAGCTCTATGGATCAGCTTCTATAACTTCTCCTTGCATCTGCCCTAGCCAACCCTTTCAAAATCATCATACTTTTTTCTAGTTTCCAGTATTTGGTATTACCCAAATAGAGTACTCCATAAAGGACAAAGCAGGGTAGTTTTCATGATTCTATATTGTATATATGATGGAGAATGGTAAATATTTCAGTCCCCATTTTATTGTTTGATGTAAAATAGGGCAATTTTAGTTATACAGTCCACTGTTCCCTTCGCATGGAAGAAAAATCCAAAAGCATATCAAACGATGTATCCTAAACTATACTTGTTAGTGAGCAGAAGTACACAATTTACATTCTCACAGTGTTCTGGATGGCAAAGTTATTTTACTATAATTAATCTGTAGATTCAGGCTACTGGACTGTGATTAGTTCTCTGCCACATTTGCTCAGTACGCAATGAGGCTGTACTCTTTTGACTATCTTTTATTTACTAACATTTTTTTGCTACAATGCCAAATGCTTCCTGCTGAAGCAGCTAAATGGACAAGTCCATGAAGATATCTTTCATTTTCCCTGACAGCAAATGATGTTTCTATATATAAATGCAATAATAGAGTCATTACATATGCACTCATATTATCGTAGCTGCTGCATGCTCAGTGCTACTCGAAACAAGGCAGAAAGCCAAATCTTCTTATTTTCCATTTTGATTTAGATTATATTTGTAATAAAGGGATTTTCATTCAACCTAAATGCAGCTTCATCCTAGTCTAACAAACCTCCACATTTTATTTTTATTATTATTTTCCTTTTATTCTAGGTCACTCAGCCCTGATACAAGTGAAATTCTCCTCTGGTGGTGATAACAGCAATGCTACTCAATGAACTATAACAAGGGCTCTAAATGCATCTCCTGTAGCATACCACAGTGATTTGCAAAAGTGGGAATAAATCAAAGCAGTGAAGAGATGCCATGTTGAGCCAGAAGCTAAATGTTACATCTTGTTGCACGAAGCTAGGGGAGAACAGATCCTGCTTTTCTGGCACTGCAATATCTTTGTGCTTGTTACCTCCGATCCAACCCCATTAAAACAATCATTCAGAATCTGCAGGAAATTGTCACCTTTCTCTTTCAAGCAATGGCAGCTGGTACTGGTGCCTACACACATTCTTCATTTCCTTTATGATTTTCAACATACACAAAAAAAGAAGCTTAATTTATATTTTAAAAAAATTGTGTCAGCTTACCCTGAGGCTCAGCACAGGCACCAGGGAAAAAAATAAAAGATAAATGCCTCTAGGTGAACTGGCAGAGACTCTAATTCTCCACTCAGTCTACTACTACATTGTATGCATCACATTAATCATTTCACATAGGCAGACATTTAAAAAAAACTTGGGTAATTTTAAAACAAAGATGCATCATCTTAAACTCAATAATAATACAACTGTATCTTGTAAAGCAGGCTTAATTCATACAAACTCTGTCCCCAAACAGAGTATTTATAAAATCCTTAGATGTTTGTTTCTCTGTATTGTTTTGTCCCCTCTAGTGACTTTTCCCATGGGTGTGTACATATATAATGTTGTAATTAATCTTATTCAACAGCTGATACACACAGGGTGTTTTCTATTTCATATTTGTATTGTATAGTTGGCTAAATGTATTATATAGTTAGTCTGAACTGTGTTTTGCACCTCAGGACACATCCAGTACAGTTTTGCTTTTGTCTGAAAGGTGGGGGTTGCTACTTTTGTTTTACTTTACTTTAGTACGACCAGCTCCCTCCCTTTTTTTGCTCCCTTCTACTAGCTTTTGTAAATGCTGTGGGGTTTTCATGTTTTTAATTTCAGACTTAAAAAAACTCCTCCTGAATGATAAAGATACTCTGTCCCCCAAATGCTTGACAAATTGTTACAGCCACAAAAACTAAATACAAATAATACCTGAGGGAGTGTGAGAAAAATGAAGTAGTCCAAGAAAGGAACAAAAAAGGACGCATTCAGATGGGACTTGAAAATGGGTGGAGTTGAAGCAGTGAGAAAAAGGACTGTTCTAGCAAGGAGGAGCTGGAATGAAAAAGGGTGTTGCACCACTAATAATGAAAATGCAAGGAGGATGGTGCTACATGAGAGGAAGGAAAGCAGTGGATATAGTTAGAAAGAAAGAAAGACTTTGACTTTGACTTTTAAGAGATGTTTATTCCGGGAAGGGTGACAAATGGTGGGCAGTAGAAATTATGTACAATTCGGTCCGAGGATCTGGACCTCGAGGACATGGCCTGGGCTCATGGCCTGCAAGGCCTGCCCGCACACTTTAGACAAAAAAACCCCCAAAACCCCCACAAAGAACAAAAGAAGTATTTACATATATACACATATACAGTTCTTGCCAGGGGGGACACCCAGGGGGGCCTCAGGACATCAGGGGTTGGCCCGCCTGGACAAAGCCCAAGGTCTAAGCTTGCTGGGTGCGCCTTTGCACCTGGAGGAGCTGGTGGTGTCACAGGGCAAGGAGCAGGCGTCCTGCCTCGACTTGGCACAGTGTCCCGTTGACAGCCCAGCGTTCCTCAAAGGTGGACACCGTCCGCCGGAGGACTGCATGCTCGAAGTCAAGAGAGAGGCGGGCCTGCACCAGCAGGCGGAACAGCTGCAGGGCGTCGTGCATCCCGGTCCCGGTGAGCCGGTTTTCCCGGCTCTTCAGGGTGGCCATCTTGGCCTGGACCACCAGGAAGTTGGCCAGGCTGATTGGGCCCACTCAGCCGCCCGGTACAGGAAGGAGTGGATGTAGGTTTCCTCTGAGAAGTCCCAGCCCAGTGCCCAAAGCAGCGCCCCGAGGGCGACAAAGAGCAGCTGCAATCAGGGGCAGTCGAGGAAGGCGTGGAAAATGTCCTCTTCCAGGAGAAAGAAAGAAGGAATCTGTTTTAATTTCAGTAACTCTTAACAAGATATTTCAGGTCTTTCACATCTTTGTCCCCAGTTTTCGGACAGGTACAAAGCGTCCCAGACCCAACGGTAGGGGAGTGTAAGCGCACTCCCACAAAGCAGGCTGCATCACTCAAGTTGCTGTCCATTTTTTGGACACATTTAAATGATTCAACCAATCCCCAAGATATTTGTGTGGGGGGAAGTTGGAGATGATCCGGCTTCTCATGGCCTCCCATTGTGCCTGTCGCTGCTCGGTGTTATGTTTATCCTCTTCCTTGGCTGTCAGTTATGAGCAGCTCAACCAATATTCGTTCTCCGCTTTGATTTCCAGTCTCCTAGTCACCCCCAGAGTCACCTTCATGCCCAGAGTCACCTTACTCGGCTGCCTGTACTTCCCAATCCATTGGCTCCCAGGAATCTTATTGCGGAGTAGGGCCAGGCTCAGAAACATGGCACTGTCTGGCATCGGCCCTGGCCCCGGCCCTGGCTCCGCATGGGGAAGAAACAGCAAGTACGACCCCACATGGGAAAGAAAGAAAGAAAGAAAAAGAAAGAAAGAAAAGGGACAACATGCTGCTGCCAGGTAAGGATGCTCTAAGTTTGGCTGGATTCTTCAATTAGGGCATTCTTCCCAACAATGAAGGAATCACCAGGGAGGATAGGTAGGCTTAGATAACTCATCTTACTATGCTAGGAGTCGCTGCCACAGGTATACTATGCTCTATGCTCCAGTGCTCAGTGACTGCTGGACTGGCCCCTTGAAACTTTTGTTAGCCAGCATCATATACAGTAGCTCTAAAACTGCTGTAAGTTGTGTCCTGGTGCTGGCCTGGTGCCCGCTAGCATGGGGCTAGCAAAGCTAAAATGATGGCTTTCAGCTTTACATACACCCTTAATTTTGAGGGCTGTCTGCCAAAAGTTAAACAGCTGATCCAAAGGATTTGGCCTGTAGTCTATGGGAAAAGCTGGGTCCAGTTATGAGATACATTTAAATCAAGAAATACAAACATGAACTACAGCTTGTTAAAAATGTATATGTATTAAAAGCACTTGTACTGAAGAGCAATATTTATGTTTTACCTGTGGTTGGCATATACTTCCAACTCCATTAGCCTTGGCTTGACTGTAACAGCACCAAAGTGGAAGACAAATACATTCTTCCCTGTCCCTCAGTAGTTGGTGACAAAACCACTGGCTGAATTGGGGGTTGAATTGCTGTGCCCTTGAAAACCCAGGCTGCAGTAGTTCTCTCCATTATCTAGCACCGAAGAGGCATTGTGACTTTTAAAAAAATACCTGACACCACCTCTGTGGCTGTATTTCCTCCCACACTGTCATGTAGCTCTGCTTCAAGAGATCCATTCACTGAGAAAATAATGTTCTGAAGTATATTTAATATATTAGCCTTGAGAATATTATACCAGCTTCCACCAAGCAATGAAAGTAAATTATAACACCTGGAAGGAAAGGTTTTTGACTAACTGAACATAAACCACCAGGTCTTAAGAAAATATTCATAACCTCCAATCTAGCTTATTCAAGCACAACCAGAAGATACTGTTCTAAAGTCCTGTTCTAATCAGCTGTGCTACCTTTTTGGTTTAGAAGTGTTTCATATTCACTTTGCTGTGGTATAAATAATTATGCCCCACAGCAGATCAGGACAATGGAGAATCACATGCAACAACCTCTAAGGCCCCTCTGCACATTACACTTAAGTATAATTACACCAGTTAATCACACTTTAAGTTGTGACCCAGCTACACATTCAACCAGTTAATGGAATGATAAAACGAACTATATGTTACAAAGTTATTCCACAAAAATATGGAATCTCCAGTGAGGTCCCCCAGGGATTATTCATTAACGATTTAGATGAAGGGGTAGAAAGTGCAATGATTAAGTTCGCAGATGATACCAAGCTGTGGGGAAATGCGGGCACACCAGAGGATAGGGCAAAAATCCAGGAGTACCTTGGATCTATGGGTGGAATGAAATCAGATGAGGTTTAACAGGTAGAAGTGCAAGGTCCTTCACCTGGGTAGGAAGAACCCTCACCACAACTATACAATGGGTGGTGGTCCACTGGCTGGCACAAGATGTGAACAAGACCTGGGGGTCACAATTGACTGGAAGATGAATAGGACCCAAAAGTGGGATCAAGCTGCCAAAAGGGCCAATAAAACTCTGGCATTCATCAGTCACTGTGTGGCCAATAGATCAAGGGAGGTACTCCTCCCTCTCTATTCAGCATTGGTGAGGCCTCAGCTGTAGTACTGTGCCCAGTTCCGGGCACCACACTTCAAGAAGGACATGGATATGCTCAAGAGGGTACAAAGAAGGGCCACCTGTTTAATTAAGGGCATGGAGGGTAGGCCCTATAAGGAGAGACTCTGGGAACCATGCCTGTTCAGCCTACGGAAGAGAAGGCTGAGAGGTGACTGGATAGCTGCCTACAAGTACCTCAGGGGGGAGCATCAAGAATTAAGAGAACAACTATTCAGGAGGGCACCACAAGGGAGGATGAGGACCAATGGGCATAAACTAACAGAAGATAAATTCAGCTTGGATATAAGGAAACACTTCTTCTCTGCAAGGGTCACTAGAATCTGGAACACGCTTCCAGCAGAGGTGGTACAGTCGCCCCCCTTGGAGGTGTTCAAGATGAGGCTGGGCAGGCACCTTGCCAAGCTCATCTGAGCTCAATACTTCCTCCCCATGGCACGGGGCCAGACTTGATGACTGTACAGGTCCCTTCCGGTTCTCTGATTCTATGATATTATACACTGGCAATAAGGCATGATGAGATGTGCTAGGGACAGAAATGACACATAAACTGGTATAAATGGTTCCAGACTGGTTCCAGTCTGTAACACAACAGAAGTTCAGTACATATTAACTGCTTTCAAAATGGCTGAAACCAGTGTAAGATCAACCTGGATGGATGTAGTATCAGACTTAACTGTTTTAGTTTAAATCAGTTTATTTAACTTTTTTCCCAGATCCCCTCCACATTGAATTTAACCCACAGTACCGCAGCATCCCAGGATACTTTGCACTTCCCCTGCAAACCCCCTCCTCCCTTGCAGGGTGGGTGGGTTAACCTAGTCCCAAGCTGTCTGCTCCAGCCGAGCAGGGAGGCATGCTCTAGCACCTACCTGCTTCTGGCCTGGGCCACTGCAGGCATGTGGCTGCATTTCCAGAAATAAAAGCAAATGTCTGTTCACTTGCTTATTAATTCAATCTATGCAGCTCAGACTAAACTGTGAAGATTGAATCGATTCAACCTTGGGCTTTTTGACTGTCTGTACTTAGCCATTGAAAGTCCCTAAAAGAAAGACTAAGCATAAAGCTCCAAATTTTTAGCTGATGCAAATTATCATAGTTTCCTTGAAGTCAGAGCAAATAGTTTAAATTATACCATTTAAAGATCTGGCCTGAAATCAGCATGAGGGGGAATATGAAAAAGAAAACAAAACACATTGTATACTAATATCAATTATAGAATT